ATATTTCTCAAGTATAGGGATGAAAATATTGACTTGCTGTAGAATCAGTTTAAATTTTGGGGCTCTTGATTGTCCATTATTTGACATGACAGAGTTTATTGGCCTTCAACAAAATCTTCAAGGGATGTCTGTGTTTGAGAACTTCAAAGATGCTAAAAATTGCACAGCAAGTTTTTGTCTTTATGGTTGGTTTTCACCAATTACATCTAGCTCAAGTTTTGAAAACACTTTTAAATTAAAAAAAACACTCATTATAAACTGGATTGCTTAGTATACTCTTTCCTTTGTAGTTAGCATCTGGCTAGAAATAGGAAGTACTCTGATCATTTCTGCAGAGAAAATCCTGAATCCATGCATAAGAATACGGTCTTGCAGTCACAGAATCTATGATAAGCATCATTACTATAGTAAAGTATAGTCTATTACAATGTGCCTTAATTTAGAACTGTCATAAAGTAAATTCCATTCTCTCTCTTTTTATTTTATTGATTTTTTTTAATTGAAAGGAAAGGAGAAGGATAGAGAGTTAGAAACATCAATGAGAGAGAAACATCAATCAGCTGCCTCCTGCATACCCCCTACTGGGGATGTACCCGCAACCAAGGTACATGCCCTTGACCGGAATCAAATCTAGAACCCTTCAATCCGCAGGCCGATGCTCTGTCCACTGAGCCAAACCAGTCAGGGCTCCATTCTCTCTTTGTACTGTCCATTTCATACTGCTAACCTTACTCCATCTGCATCCATAATCCTTCACTATTGAATGGGGAGTTTTGTTTTAATTTTATAATGTTCTTTGAAGAAAAGTGATTGGAAATGATGGAATGTTGATTTAGAGGAGACTTTCAAAATTACTTAATCTTTTAATTTTTAAACACATTTAGCTGTGGAAACCTTATTTTGATTATGGTTCTGCTCTTTGTTAGGCTTTTGGGGAGTACATTGTTGGAACCTCCAGGGGCTGCTTTGTGGACTTGGCTAGACCGAGGAGAAGATCTATTTTTTATTTTTAATGATAACTGAGCTGTCTCTTTTGTGTCCTTCTCTTATTTCTTAACCTTAAAAAAAAGAATTTAATAAACATTTTATTGAGAACCCACCATGTGCTGGACATAGGATGAACGAGACACTGCCCGGTTCCTATGGAACTCAAGGTCCTGGCCATGCAGGTCAGGATAGAGGGCTCAGGTGTCACCCAGTTTCCTTTCCCTTTCTAGGCTCCAGTGCAGGAAGGAGGAGGGTGGGGACAACTTAGTTCCTTTCTGCAGTCTTCCTTAACTCCTTTTGCTGTTCCTAACCCCCTGTTCCCTCTTCTACTTAGCTGCTCATGAAAGACTCTATAGCCAAAAATCTGGTGGTTGAATAAAAAGTAGACTAGAACCTGGTATAAAGGGCAGGGCCCCTGAGGACGAATGATACCATACATAATACTTGTTCAAGCATTTAAGAGTTTGTCCTCTGTAGTCCAGGAGCAAAATAACTGAGCTCGGTAGGTAGTGTCATATAGTTATTTTTTGGTTGCATGGAGCAAATGATAATTATTAATATTACTCATGAGAATAACTTTTTACCCCCTTGGGATTAAGAGAAAGGGGATAAGAGAACCAACATTTATGGGGCATTTGCTTATGTACTAGGCACTGCCAGATGCCTTTTCAAAAGTTTAATTTTGTTTATTTGTAACTGTTAGCAGTGATTGATGGACCTCAATTTTTGAGTTTGGCAAAGAAAGAATTCAGAGGCAACAACTCCAGCACAAGAGGAAATTTATTTAGCATGCAAAATGAAAGTACACTAAAGAGAAATCTTCCCTTTAATGTACTTTCGGGCTGCTCAGAGAGCTGCCTTGGCCTTTTAGAGAGAAAATCACAGAGGAAGAAGTGAGCTAACTGGGCTGCTTGGACTCAGGAAACAAGTAACAGAGGCAAAAGAGGGCCTTTAGAACTTAGGAGAAAAGAAAGCCAAGATACATATCTGCAGCTGAAAAAGGAAGGTGTAGAGAGTTGTTGGGTTCTTTGCCGTATGGGTTTTTATCTGTTTTCTAAAGGTAGGATTTTAGGGGAAATCTCAGGGGAGGATTTCAGTAGAAGATTCATCACCGTTCTAGGTGTGTCCTTTAATGTACTGATTCATCAGAATGAGCTAGAACAAATATGCCAAAGTCGCGGCCCACAACGAATACTTTTGTGGCCCAGCCAATATAACAGTATGTAAGAAACGTTTTAATAAAAATTTCATAACTTAATTTTTACAATATCCTGTTATACATAATTATTAATAACGAACTACAACATTCGCTAATGACTGATTATTATAATCATGTTGCATTTATTTCCCTTACGTACCTACGGGAGCAGGCGTACCATTTCTTTCCACTAATGCTAGCAGCGCATATTTTAGCAGCCAATTGCCATGTCATTGGTCTTGGACTATCTTGTTTGGTGTGTGCAGTAGGAAATATTTTGCTTTCAGAGAACGAGAAAAATAGGTTTATTTGTGTTATGCTTATTAATTTGTGCAGTTATTCAGCGTCTGGTAAGTTAATGTTCAAGAAAAAACTAATTTTTATTAAAATGTTCTATTATTTTATGTTAATGATTACTCATTTATTTCAGCCCCTTGTATTCAGCATGTCTCTATTGAAATAAACCTATGTTTCTATGAAAATTGAAGCTTGTTTTTTTGCGGCCCACCTAAACTTAAACCTTGTTTATTTGGCCTGTGTTAGCCTTTGAGTTTGACATGCTTTAGCTAGAAGGTCAGGGTCATAGTCTCTGTTGATTGGTCAGCACTGGGATAGAGGGTCGTTGGTCATTGCATCTGGTCCTGATGTCAGCTAGGACCACGCTTCCTCTGGTTTTGCTGCTTTTCTGGGCCTGGAGCTGAAACACAACTGAGGCCTAGATGTTATCTCTAGTTTGACCAAAAGCTTTGTTTCATCTCTGTGGTCAACAGACCCATGACTTTGTTCCTGAGATTATCTGATGCTGATCAGAACCTCATTGTCCTAAGGACTTAATGCTTAAGGGAATGGTTGTGCAAGGGAGAAGGAGGCAGGCGAGTCAGGGTGCTGGATAAGGCCAGTTTGAATCAGTTTCCCCATCCCACTTGCCAAGGAATTTTCCTAGGTTCTTACCATCCTGCCTCATAGCTACCCTATAAAGTGGTTGGTAACATTTTCATTTTATAGTTAGGAATTGGAGGCACAGAGAGGTTAATAACGTGGCTCATAAGTCAAAACTTGAGGATAAGGGGATGGGGAAAGGCTTTCTAAGCAGTGCATGAAAGTATGTGGTATATATGGGTTCAAATGGGACATCTGGGGTGGTTAGACTGCATGGTGTGTGGCATGTAATTGGAATTAACACTGGAAAGATAAAGTTCACATCTTGTTCTGTCTTAAGTTCATTTTAAGGCTATAGATGCTTTCCCAAGGTGTGTGTAACCGACATCATTCCACACAGATAGATGTATGAGGTATTTTGGATAATAGCACCTTTTGTGGGGGTGTGTGCGTGTG